GTTGTGATTGATTAATTCTGGATATGGAAAGTACTGATTTTATTTTCTTCAAAATTATTGAGTTTATTTTGTTGAATGATTTTATTAATATTTTTTCATGGATTTGTTGTGCATGCACTGATATTATGAATTTATTTTTTAATTGTACCCTTATTTATTTTACATTTTAGCTAATGTTGTGATTGAGTAATTATGGATCTGGGAAATTAGACACATACATTTTCTTCGGTTGTTTTATTAGTATTTTATGGATTTGTTACTTGTGTATAATTAATTATATGTTATTTTCTAAGTCAGTTCCATCTTTTATCATATAGATAAAACATTCCCGGGCTTGACATTTAACATGATTTTAGAGGTATTATAGTTTGCATAAATATTGATGATGAATATGGGTTTATATTGTGCGATCCGTTTAATATGATGATTTTATAACAAAACATTCATTAATATTATGATTTTATATTGTGCTGTCTGTTTCGTCTGTTTCATAAAATTGATGTGTTGATATACTTGGCAATATTGACATACTAATAAACAGTCACTTTGGCCTCAACAATATTGACATACAAACAAAGAATGACTTATCTTGATATTATGCAGTGATTTCTGGAATGTGTAGTATACTTTCTACTTCCGATGTTGAATTTATGCACTTATGTGAATTTTGTTCACACAATGTAACTTAGTATAATAAATTTAAATATATGCAGCAAATGTTACTTTGATGAAGAAAAAATGAGGAGAAATATGTTTGTCTGCTTTTGCTTATTTTTGATATTTCACTATAATGTACTAAACCTAAAATGAATATCTTTGCCTTCTTTTGCTTATTGTTGATAATCTGCAAACAATGTGAATATTGTAGATTATTATAACATTGTTGTGAGTACCCAATTTTGTTCGGCCCAAAAGACATTTTCAATAAATAAAGGTAAAAAAATATTTTTGGGTATTTTCTATAAAAATAAACTTTTTTTATCTGCCCAAAATAGAAATGATTTGAATTTGAATTTTTAATTTATGATTTTCATTAAATTCGAATTTTAAAAATTAAATATGATAATAAAACAAATTAAAGTTTTTAATTTGAATTTGAATTAAAAACAAAAATCAAAATCTCCTTAACTTTCTCTTGGAAGTTAATATGAGATTTGATTTGATTTTCAAATATTTGTCAAAATTCAGCTTTAAATAGGCATATGACACATGAGGTGAGGGATTCACAACTCCAAAAATCCACTCATCATCTATTCTAAAAAATCATCAATAATCCTCTAAATCATTTTTTTTATTATAAATTTGTGACACATTTAATTTTTTCCCTTAATATCCTCTAAAGAATTAATTAGGAGATTATATTTGATTTAGACATGTGCTAAAATATCTAGCCTATAAATAGAATAATTCACTCACCTAAATAAAAGAATCAGGTTTCCCTTTATTCTCTCCCTCGAATTAATTAGGAGAATATATTTGATTTAGACATGTGCGATAAATCTTCTTTTCATTTTCACCTCAATTGCCTCTCTCTCTAAAAAAGGTCACATCAACCTCTTAATATCACTTCATAGAAAAGGAAGATAGGTACGTAGCACATAGAAATGTAGATTACATAGAAAGCAACAGAGAATAATAGAATAGCTAGAAGGAATCATAATCTCACCATTCACTTTTCAAGGTTAGTATTATGACTATTTGTTTTTATGCACAGTTCATTTGAAGGTGTAAAACCACATTGGTGCATTGTTCGAATTAAAGTATATGTTCATATTTAAACTTTAAGAAATAAAAAATCAAGTACATATAAATAATGCATTCCCAAATGTTTTGATAATCATTGCTTCAATCTATTCTAGTGAAAAAAACAACAATATGTATCTTAAACTCATATAATAAATCACATAGTCACATTAACATGATAGATAACTTTCTATTTTGTTGTTTTAGTTCATGGTAAACTCAAACAAATTTCTAAGCTTTGTAAAACATATAATAATAACCAATGTTTTAATTATTTTTGGGGTTCAATAGCTAGGTTACAACTCGTATTGCATCTTTCTCCTCACTTCGAGCCGAGAACCGGTCACGGCCACATGTACTGCTTCTGCTATTTATCGAAGTGGGAAGAGGGTAAGCAGTCAATGTTGACTCGTCGTCTATTAGTCCCATTTCAATTAAACTCAAACCAATTCAACAAATAAGGGTAAATTAAAAGCACGCAATTAGTTAGGGTACCATTTAATAACGGGCAAACGGGTGCTAATACCTTCCTCGATTCGTAATCGACTCCCGAACTCACGACTCTAGTTTAAAAGACCAATTTTATCCAATTCGGGCATAATTTGAGTTTTCCACGTTTTAACCGCAAAAGACATGCTGGCGACTCCTCAAAAGGTCGCGTGCCCGAAAATTCGGGCGCGACAATTGTGATGATTACATGTGGGAGAAAATAATTGAATGAGGATAGAGAAGAGAAATACATAAGGTTAGAGGGAGATGATGTATAATAAAAATGGAGATGGAGAAGTGTATGTAACATTTGTGCATAATAACTTCTTACTTTTGTAAGATCAATCATGTTCATAATTCAGTTATTCAAAACAAAAACTGCAATATGCCATGTTTCCAAAAAGAAAAACGGCAATATGCCATGTTCCCAAAAATAAAAAACTGCAATATGTCATGCTCCCAAAAAGAAAAACTGCAATATATCATATTCCCAAAAGGAAAAACTGCAATAGTGCAATATGTGTTCATAATTCTTTAAATATTGCACGTTTTTTTGTTCAACATATAAAACTGCATTAATTAATAAGTGATATGGCAGTTTACACATAAATGAATAATTTACATTCTCATAATTTACAGAAATATTAAATTATAAATTATGAGGGTAAAATATGTAATAAAAAATTATACTATGGGAAATTAATTTAAGTTTTCCTTTTATTAAGTAGTATAGATATACATATAAATATCTACATATTTTTTCTTGCTAAGTATTCAATTGTATTACCTCATAAAACCTTAGATACACAAGTAAAATTTGGTTTTTCCGGTGTTATTAATACCGTACCGGCCATCAAACTAGTAAGGGTATTGGTACAATGATATAGTGGTTTAACCGGTGGTTCACTAATTAAACCGCATATCGGTCAAGTTAAATATACATATATAATATATTAACATTAATGTTGAAAAATCAATAATTATTTTTTATTTTCGTTAAAAAATTAATTTTAAATAAAAATTGTCCGGTATGACCGGTACGGTTCAATTGAAAACCGGCCGATATGACCAATTTTTACCGGTATAATTGCATGACCAATATAATTATTGTATCGTACGGTATTGAGATCGGTTAACCGGTTTATCGGCCGACACGAAATGGTTTTAATAACTATCTTTTTTCTTTGCAAAACCACCTAAAAATATCAATTTCTAGCACATAATAAATTTCTAAAATTACAATAAATTAAATAATTGAGAATCAATTTTTTTATAACTCTAATGTTGTGATAAAGTTCCATATCATTGGACCATGGGATTTTGCTTCTCATTTATTTTTGAAAACATCAAATTTGATTTTTATCTCCCCACACTTTTGGTTATGAAATTGTCTTCTATGTCTTTTAATCCACAAATAATAGATACTAGTATCTAAGATAAAATAAATAAATATCTGAAACAATTATTGGAAAATATGTTTTAATCTAATATTATAAATTTTACACTAATTCAAAAAAACTGTGAGTAAGGTTATGTATTTGTAAGTATTATGAGTCTTTTATGTCTCATTAAAATATCTTAAAGGTTATGTATTTTTAAGTTGTTAATTATAGTATTATTAAAATATCTTAAAGGTTATGTATTTTTAAGTTGTTAATTATAGTATTTGCACATCAATTTATTTAAGTAGAACAAAACTCTTTTCCTCCAATAGAGCTAGTAGGCCGAATTCAAGATGTTGAAAAAATTAAAAATCAAGTTGCATGTTTTAAAATTTTAGGGTACAAAGTGCACATGGCCAATGTAGATGTGTATAAAATATTTTCCCTTTATTTTGTCAAGCCCAAGAGTGAAATCTTTCTAATCCTTTTTATTGGACCTTTTTGAGAATTAATTTTTGTCCTTATTATAAGTTGATTTTGATAATTTTTGGGTATATTAAATATTCTTTATTATAAAAATACCCTTATTAATTGAGATTAAAGAAGAAGAGAACGAGACCATAAAATTATTAATTGAGTGAACATAGAATGAGAATGAATCCTAATAATGAATGATAATTCTGAAAAATTGCATCTATCAATTGACTAATTTTTTTGGTTACCTGTATTGACTAATTTAATATTACTCACTATATCAATCAATTTTCTTAATTCATGTGAAATTACTAAAAAAATCCTATAAAAAAACTAGTGGTAATACTAATTAGTATGTTCCAATTTTTGGTCGTATTTGGTACCGTCTGTTCATTTATAAGCTTGTTTACATTTAACCATTATTCTCAAAGTTTAAGATAATATTAATTATTTATCAAATATATATTTACCATCATTGTTGTGGAGATAGAAAAAAATTACGGTGAAATAAAATGGAGAGAGGGGTTGAATTATAACAAAGAAAAATAACAATTTTTTTAAAAACAAAATTTAATATTTTTCTCCATTTGTATAAAACAAGTAATGAGAGTTAAAATAGAGGGAGTAAAAACTAAAAAGTGGTAACTATAGGAGTAATGTGAAGACCATGGATCTTATGGTGGGAACAATTCCCATTATTTATAATAAAATAAAAGATGTGTGAATGTAAAAAGTAACAAAAAGGATGGTCCCTATATAAAGGAATAAAACCATATAATAAAAAGGGGAAGAGAGAAATGCAAAATACAATGAAGGGCATTGTTCCATAGGATATGCCAATTCCATGCATTCATAAATAACCTTCCTGTTAGCCATTAATCTTTCAGTCTGCATGTGTGTCTTCTCAGTTGCAGTCACATTACAGGGCAAGATTTCTATTGGCAGGTAGCTTCACACTATTATCTATGCATCTCAGCCATGCATGCACTCATTTTAGTGTGCAATCTGCCAAAGGAGATTTGCCCAGTGATTTACTGCAACTTTTGTTGTTCTTCAGAGAGATTTCAATACCTGCTTCAACACATAAAATGTTCATGTTCATGTACCTCACTTCTTTGAGGGCTTTCTGTCCCCTTCTAAAATGTTGTTATTTTATGTGTAAAACAGTGTTTTAAATTACGGTTGCAGTTATAATTATTGTATTTACCAAAATTGGTGAAAATTGCTCCAAATGGACAAATATATTTGGAAGAGAGAAGAGTTAATCACTTCATAGGTAAGGAGATTTTCATGCTTAAAAAACTTAATTATTTGCTAATTGTGCTAAGCTTGTTGGTTTTATGTATGACTTATTTTGTATGAGGAATTCAAAATGTGACTATTATACAGGGATGCCAATATGGGTCCATATGATTTCAGATAGTGTAGTAACCAGAGTCTTCTTGTTCATTTATATTTGGACTCATTCCTACCTTCAACACTTGCTTTCTATTTGTGGGGTGAGTACCAAATTTTTTGGAAAATAGTAAAAATATTCCTAAGAAATTTATGTAATTGTGTATTTGTTTTCCATAGTCATATATATTATTTTATGCAATCAAAATGAGGAAATAATAAAAAACTATAAAATATAATTCAAACACAATTAATTAAATTATTAATTATATACAACTTATTTTACTCAAACAAATATAAAAATTAAATCACTACTTCAATACAGAAAATTTATTTAGTAAGAACTATTTAATCAACTTAATATTATATCATAGTTTTTAATTAACAACATAATATCAATGTATAATAATATAACATTTATAACATCACATTTATAAACTAATATGATATTATAATAATAGATTAATAATATAACACCACAATTATAATTAATATGTTATTATTCTTATATCACATATTTATACAAGGATTTAAGAATTGTAGATGTGAATTATAATTAATATGATATTACATATGATATTAAAGTGCTTCATTAAAAGCCTATTTTTTCTTCTTCCAATATGTAGACAACTTTGAGGTCATTATTTTCTTGAGAAGTGTGCGCTAACAAAGCTAACGTTCTGCGGTATCATATTTGACAGCAATGAAGATTCCCTATCTCAAATTTTGGTGTCCCAATGTGTATCAATCCAATAAAAAATATCAATTATAAAAACAAAAAATAATGTGTTTTTACTACTTTGTGGAATATGATTGGTTTCGGACATTCGTACATAAATTTTTGGATATGAGATTCTTGTTCCTTTCACACATCCTATTTTCTTTTTGCATTCTACTTATATTATTTTCTTTTTCCTTTCCAACATAAATTTAGATACGATTGTATAAACACAAAGTCTTAAACCATATATTCTACACGATTGACCACTATATATCAGCGTGAAACGTAAAAGGAACTTTAATTTCATTTTGATCTAAAGGTACTCTTATGGGCACGTATACATTTTATTTCTATTACAGATTCATATGGTTAGTGTGTGTATTATTTTATTCCCAATTATATTGGCCTTAGTTGATGTGGTACTGTAATAAAAAAGGTGAGTTTGATACCCATGGCTTCTTAGTGTAAAACAAATTATATGGTTATCTTTACATTCATTATTCATATATATTATTTTCATTCAAGAATTAACACCTATATATTAATAGATAAATGATGGATAAATATAAATGACCCTTCCACTACTATATATTATTTTTCTGAAAACATTCTGTACTTTTATGATAAATAAAACATTAAGAAAAAAGTATATATATAAAAGGTTGAAAAAATAGTACCAATATTTCTAGTCTTGAATTCATAGACCACCTTCCATTATACCTACAATATTTTAAAAACATTCTTATATTTTCAATTAATTAATATAAAATAAGTTTCGAGTAAGATTGTCTTGGCAGGGTGGAAAAAACTGTAATTTTGAAAAAACAGTAAGTTTAAATGTTTTCTTCTTCATTATATTGCAAAATTACACGTAAATCTTATTTAGAAAAACAATATTTTTTAATTTTAGGTAAATCAATTTATTACTATTTACTTGCAGTTTCACCTGTGGAAGGGGTTTTCTTTGAGGGGTTTTGTTAGATTCAGGCAATGCTGTGGCTTTTAGGCTTTGTGTTTGTGTGGACTAGTTTGCAAATAATTCAATTCTAAACTTTAATCACTAAAATAATTAAGAAGATAAGAAGATAATTTTTTTTGTTGTAAATAATTCAATTCTAAACTTTAATCACTAAAATAATTAAGAAGATAAGGACATAATTATTTTTCTAAATAATTCAATTATAAAATTTAATCACTAAAATAATTAAGTCAATGATCTTATAGGATATTTTCATATTTTATATTTGCATTTTCTTTTCCAACAAATTTTATGTCAATAATACATTAAACACTTTTAATTATTGGGCTTGTTCATTAACTATCACAAAGATATGTGAAATGTCATAATGAGCATCATACACTTGTAAATGTTCTCCAAAAATTTAAAGTTAAAAATAAATTAAGTAACACACAATTATTCTTTATTTTATTCAGGTTACACTACTTTAAAGGGCGACAATTTTCATCCACTAAAGTCATAAATTACCGCACTCATCATCAAACTATTTTAGCAATAATATTAAGATAGACGAAGAAAAGTTGTTATGTTAGAGGGAAATAAATAAATTTTATTATGAAAATGAGTGATAGTCTGAACAAGAAAGACACTCATTGATTGGTTTTGACATTTTGTTGATTAGTGCATAGGGTAATTAAAAAATATATTCCCTCAATTTCATATATTCTTTAAGATTATGCACATAATTTAAGAAATTATTAAATAATATAAAAATTTAACATCATTTTACTAAAATAACCAAATCTAATGTACATTAAAACTGAATAAAAATGAAGAAATATACTTGAAAAAGATGAGTAATAAGTAGTGATAGAGTTGGAAAATAAAATATAATTGTATATTGAGTTCTAAAACATTAATTTTTTTTTTGGAAATTAACATACAAAAGTTAAAACATATAGAATAAATGGAGAAACTTCATTATTGAAAATAATGGAAATGCTATATATTTTTATTTTCAGAATTTCCGAAAATGAAGCTCTAATGTTTTATAAAATATGTAATTAAAACAACTACCCAAACATGTTTTTACCCTCTCTTTTTTATTTCATTGAAAATGGAATTAAAAATAGTCAAAACAAACACACCTTTAATTGATCAAATATTGAGGAATATTTACTGATCAAAAGTTCTCAGTCCCACTTCATTTAATTATATTTGAAAAGGACAATAAAACTATATACCTTTAGCATATGCATGGTGTCACTCCCCTTGAGTATAAACATTTTCGAGTATATGATAGTGTCAACCAGAGTTCAACCTGCTAGAACTCATTCCTTCTAAGTGCTTTTGATTTATTTGTACGGTCGTTCCAATGGATGCCGCCAAACCTTCATATTTCTAGGAAGACTTTCGATACAAGCTCAAACAAGTGGCTTTGATACCCGGTATTAAGATTGAGGTCCAAAAGCAAAGGGAGGTATTCAACTATTGGGTTAAGTAGAAAACTTCCCACATTAAAGCATTAAGTCTATGGATCGTGTTACATGTATGAACTTCAACTTTTTCATTGTTCATCAACATAGAACATATCTTACTCATATAAATCACTTTAAAATTATTAACATTTATGTTTCATGAATAAATGACGACCCATATGTAGTTCAACGTGGTTGCAATACAAATACATTATTATGATTCAATGTTACACCTAAAACTATTAAACTATACAAAAAAAAAATATGTGCCTTTTGAGCAAAATAATACAAAAAAAATATTTTACTATTAAACTATACAAAAAAATATTATACTATTAAACTATACAAAATGATACAAAAAAATATTAAACTATTATAAACTAAGAAAATAAATAGAAAGTGAGTAGCCACGGTATTTATAGGAATTGTGAGTGTTATTCACGACATTCGAAAATCGCACATCTCATACACAATTTCAGTAAAATTTACATCACTTCCATAATATTTAAAAAAGTTACACCAGTGAAACTATATCAATTTTCCAAATTTCCCCTTCATTTACTACCACAATCACATCTAAGATGCTTCTTAAGGATCCCACAACCAACTTCAGCTACTAGTAAGAACTTTAGACAAAATTTTATACAGAGAACCCACAGGATCAGAAATAGGTTTGAAGTCATGTAACCTAGACGCAATCACCTACCGATGTTAAATATAAAATTAATCATCTTCATTCACATGTCAACTTAACTTTTGTGAGAATTAGTTGATGATATTAGAGCATTTATGATAAAATAATTATAGGTGTAAACTAGATCCGGATTGGATTCAATTTTCCTTAAAATAGAATAAATTCATCACTAATAAAATCTTGTAGTTCATAGATATAGTCGCAGCTTGAAAGAGGGGCTTTGCCTTTTGGAGCTTGGATATGGTTACCAACACGTAATGCAATTATATATGAACCACACACAACCATAGATTTGTAGAAACCAACTTTTGTTTCACTTGTTTCTTTGTGCTTCTAAAATGCTTTTAATTTTCTTCAGTAACTAAAATAACCTTTACCAAAAGGTATGGTTCCTAAACAAAGGAATAAAACCGTATGAAAGGACAGAAGCACAGAATGAAGGCATTGTTCTATGGTATATGCCAATCATAGGAAGCCATAAATAAAGTTCTTAGTAGCCACTTAGCCATATGCACCTTCCCAGTTGCAAATGCATTACAGGGCAAGTTCTCTTTGGCAGTTTTCCACTATTATATATGCATGCATCTCAACCATGCATCAAATAATTATTTTTAGCGTGTAACCTGCCAAAGGAGATTTGTCCAGTGATTATCTTGCAACTCTGTCTTATATAACATATTACCATATTCACAACCCTTAGCAATATCAAGTTTCTTTGTATTGGGTAGACACCCCTTGTGCTTATTTAATATAATTTTATTTATCAAAAAAAATTTATAATTGGAGCTGAGGATATTACATCGAATATATTTTCCCACAATTTTCTACCGTTACAATAAATTTAGGGTAAGTGCAATTTAAAATACCGGTTTGTTAATCATTAAACTTGATATTTAATTATACTTTATTTTAATTTCTGCTTGCAGGTGGAAAAAAGTGTATAATTTGAAGTGACACTCATTTGTTGATATTTAATTATACAAAGTTTTGTAGACAAAGCATGCTATATATCTTAGCTGAAGCAAAATCACAACCAACCAACGGTTTAATTTTGAATTGTGTGTAATCACCTATATTTTTTGTAGTGACACATTGTCTAAATACAAATTTCATTAAAAGTAAAAGCTTAATTCCAAGGTACAAAAGATATCCACAAATGCTAGTGTAGTTTCTCTTTGAATTTTATTCTCTCCAAAAAAAAATAAGGTGAAAAAGAAGATCGGGGTTTAGTAATACAAATAGTTCTTCCAATAAAAAGGGTCAAATCATCAGCGAGTACATTCATGCAAAACATGGAGACGATATATTTGTTTGATATGGATGAAAATTTGTAGATTTTATTTATTTTTTAAAACATAAACTTAAAGTTGTATTAGAAATATATTTGAGAACTCGTCTATATAGTATAAACTTAACTTTTATTTATGAAAAAATTAAGCAAAAAGTGACTCTCTTCTATGATGGTGTTAAAATGGTAGGAGTCATGCAAGAAGTTTTTTGATTAACAAAAAATATGAGAAAATATATGCATGAATGAGAAAGAAAACTTTAAAGAAAGCTAAAGAAAGAATGAAGAATCAAGACTCCATTGAAATGAATGAACTTCTCATTATTGAATGCATTGATGAAAATGAAATTGAAGAAGTGAGCGAATTATAAAGATTAGGTATGCCCTTTATATGCAATTTTGAGTAACTAACTCAAGTATCACAACTAACAAATTAGACGCATTCCCCTTTTATACACATTTATCTTAACATATGGATTATTCTCCAACCAATTTCAATTTCTATTTTACCCCTCAAATTTCAATAACACTTTCATATTTATTGACCTCTCCTTGGATTGTTTGTTTTATTATTTGTACAATATTTATTTTGTACATTGTCTAATTCAAGTTTAACAATTTTTATTTATTTGTGTATCATGTTATTTTTTTAAATTGATATTATTTTTAATGTTATCTTCTATTTTAATATGTTTTAGTCTTTGTCAGGAGGTATTAAAAGTTAAAAAATTATAGTAAAAATATATGCGATGATAAATATTAAATAATATATACTTTAAAAATGGTATAAAAATCAAAATATAAATAAATAACTTCATAACTTTTTTGTAATTTACTGTGTAAAAAATAATCTTTATATCTTACCCAAACGAAATAAATTAGTTTATATTCAATTTTTAACTAAAATAATAAAAAATAAACATATTATAATATTAACGCATTATAATCCTACCGTTTATAAACTAAAACAAAAAAAACATAATCTATATGAAACATTTCTAAAGAAAATATCTACCAGGTGGAAGAGTGAAAGGTCGTGTGCATCAAACTTGTTATCTACATTTTGAAATAATTTAGGGAGAAACATTATACTAATTCGTCATATTGAATTTTATATATTTCATGAATACACTACCTATATGATTCCTAACTTTGTAGACATTTGTCACTTTACTCCTCAAGATTTTGAAATTTTCACTTTAACTAGTCTTTGGGTTTGACAAACATTTGTCACCACATTCGTGGAACAAATGTATGTTATAACAACTTAACCTAAGTTACACATGTCCTACTAAGTTCTGAATGAACTATTACTTTGGTTTTTGACTTTGTCAATGCTCCAACAATTTAGTCCTCAAGATTATGAAAATTGTCATGTTAAAATATCATATTTAAACTATTAAATTTGTGGAACTTTAATTATTTCCTGCATCCAAATTGTTTGTTAATTGATCCTAAAAATATAAATATATTGAATTGTCAAATATCACCTTTGGAGTGTTTGTGCAGACCAAAACCAAAGAAATTATTGTAAAAAGCTAAATTACAGACGAAAGCAAGAATTCATCAATGAGTAGTGCCAATACAATTGTGACACCAAATTCGTTGACTGTTGAATCCAACTGAATTTTGCATATGTTGTTCTTGATATATGGAGCTTCAATATGGAAGGTCGAGTCGACGAAATATGAAACATTGGTTGCGCTAAGCGCAATTCTTGCACTCAACACAATTTGGTAAAATTATGGTAAACCTGCGCCCAGCGCAGAAGCCACGCTCATCGAAAGTAGCAGTCTGCAACTAGCGCTCAATGCAATCATGGCGCTCAGCGCAAGAGGTACACCCATCAAATAAGAAGATTTTAGTCTAAGCGACTCGCTCAAAGTACAGGCAGTGTGATTAGCATGAAAGTCAGATTTCATACACTATTTAAGGGGTTAACTCGAGTTTGTAAAATATACATTCAAATAGGAACACTTTATACTCAATTTCTTTAATTTTTTAGGGTAATTTATCTTAGATTAAGGAGTAGAAGCAATGTGAAAGGTTAGATGAGTCAATCTACGTTCTTTGAGGAGATAATTTCTTCTCATGTGACATTAGTTTTTCTCTTTGTATATCTTTGTATTTAGTTACCATGATAATGTGTAGCTAAACCTTTTCCTTGTTGGGATAGAATATAATATGATTTTGATGTATACACTTTGATTCAAATTTATGCTATTTCACTATGTTTTGATGACAACTGGTCTAACATATTGACCAAAGCAATTTCAATCAAGAAGCTAACAAACATTTGTATTGATGCAGGGCTGATGACACCCCTCAATTAATTTAGGAAGAGAAATATTTGTTAGGAATCCTTCCTAATTGAAAGGATAACTTATCCAATGAAACTTGATAGATAATTCATTGAATGCATTCAATGATGGTCATTCCACGATCTTGGAAATATTCATTAACTTTTGAAGACTATGAAGTCCAACTTAGAAATTAAAGTTGGAGAAGTACCATTTTCAATGTGTCTTGAAAGTATGATAAGAGTTAATCTTCCATTATATCTTTATAATGAAGTGTTCCTATCATTCATTATATTCTATATAAATGGAACTTGTGAGTAAGAGATGAACCAGAAAGTGAGAAGAACAACATAGAGAGAAAGTGAGAGAGTTGATATCCAATATAGCGTGAGACTATTATTCCTAGTCAGATAATAGAGAAAGTCTGTATTTCATCATTTTTGGGTGAAATTGTTTGTTATACTCTTAGAGAGTTATATTGTAATCATGCTTTACATAATGTAGATATTTATGGACTAGGTCTCATGGTTGTTTACTTCTCAATTTATGGAAGTTTTTTTATGTTAAATTTTTTGGTGTTATTCTTTTACTTTTCTCTATTTTATTTATCCATTTGTTATTTCTGCAAGATCCGACTTGCATTATTCACACAGGGGAAATTTGATTCTCTATTATTAATCTCTTGAGTATGGCTCTTGTTTATTAAACATGGGATAACATTTGAGGAATAAGTGCAATGGCCTGATGAAAGTGCTTCATAAGTCATAAGTCATAAGTCATAAGTTCATATAGTTAAAAGTCTTTTTCTCTATCCAACAAGTGTGTATAATAAACACAGAATCCAAATCCATGTGCTGCTTCTAGTTTCTCCATAAGAACAACTTTTTTGGGGTCATTGGTCACTGAAAACAAACCTTGCGTGTGAAGTAAATCGAACATTCTCTGGCATCTTCTTTCTCAAAGCATAAATCATGGCCTATTCTCGTTCTAGTTTCTACTTACTTTTATTTATTTTTTATTTCAAGAAAAATCAGGTTCCTTCTTATAAAATTAAAATAAGATTCGTTACCAATGTATATACACAAAATCTAAAACCATATATTCTGCACGATTGACCACTCTCTGTGTGAAACATGAGAGGCACTTTAATTTTAGAAATTTTCTTTTGCCAATGCCGATAGTATCATAGTACTAGTTAATAATGTGTCGTATTATAATTATATTCCAAATGTATTAACCTTAGTTTGTGATAATTATTCATGTGTATGAGTTTTATACATATTACTGTATCATGTGTTATTCATATTTAATTATTATTGACTCTTCAAATAATAATTCAAATGAATAATAAATTATATAATAATTATGTATAAATTTTTACACTGACCATGTATAGATTTACACTCATAGTATAATAGAAAGATAAAGCACATAAAAAATTCAAACAAAAAATATGTACCAAAAAAATGGAATAGAAAAATATATAAAGGTGAAAATAACAATATTTATAGACTTAAATTCATACATCACCTTCTTTAGAGAGTTTAATTTTAATGTAAATGTATTAACATTATCAACTAATTATGTCTTATTACGTGTGCTATTTATAAAAATCAAATATGCATCTCTACTGATGTGAAATAATATACAATTGATGATAATGGGAAGAAAGAAATATGATATAAATATTAAGAAGGGAAGAAAATGGGAGGAGAAAAAAAAAAAGGAAATAAGTAAAGTTAAATATTACTCGAGTAAAGAATTTTAAGAAGGAAAATGATATATCCTCCTACTAAATCATCTTACATACAAGAAAGTGACATATGTCACTTGTAAACTAACTAATAAATGAAGTATCACTTTGTGACATATGTCACTTTTTATTAGAAAGTTCGTATGGAACGTATAGAAGATTTAAAGTTGTAGAAAAGACCACTAACAAGCATTTAAATTAATAATATTAATTATAAGTTGAATTTGTGACATAAATTACAAAAACACTAATCAAATACCCCCAACTTATATTAATAATTAGGTCAAGTACTAATAATGTGAACAGTAGCATATCAAGCACAACAACATAAAACTATAAAACCTAATAAACAGTAACCCTACTATTATTCTCTAACAAGAATAAACTAATTAATGTACATTGTTTTTCTGATTGTATCTTTGCCTGATGATAATAGAAGCAGTATATATTTCTAGCTAAGAGTATCTCATCTTGGATATGCCCTAAAAAACGAATAGGATCAGCATATGCCAGTATCCAGTACAATTCCAATGAAAGAAGGTCCTTTCTTGTTATAATTGGTCTTGATTCTCTCATCATCAAATCCTTTCAAACACTAAAGATTTGTCAACATAACAATATTGTATACTTCAGTAAAGTAGATGTTTTTTTGTGTGGATATTCCCTGAGGCAAAGCATTACTAATCTCTAAAAGATAACTGATTTTCTCAGACAACAAAAATTAGTAAGTGGTATGAGAGTAACAAAGATTCATGATAACTGGTGTAATTGAGTAATGTTATATCCTCTTATTTTCCGGTGTAATTAGTTGAATTGAAATGTCATGATTTGTTGGGAAATCTTGATCCATGGGATATATCATTCTTCCGTAGCCTAAATGAAGGAAGCATATAAGTGGGTTTGACACCACATATTAACCCAAAACCTTAAGGTATTAGGTCTATGAGTTCATCCGCTTATATGCTCTTTAACTCATCCACTTTTACACAATGTAGGACTTCTTCATTCACACTTGGAATACCCAACATGATTTTATTCAATTACCAAGCAAGAAAAGCATAATATCATAAGACTTGACATTTCAGAATTTGGCATGTATTAGTTGTGAAATCATAATGGGCAATTCAAGCAGTATGTTGACAAAACGAAAGTAGTTATAGAATAGGTATTTGCTAACAGCATATTCTTCCACAATTAAACAAAAGACACTAGAAAAGGAATAGAGTGGTATTATGCCTTTTATCAAGACACATATCCTAAAAATCAAAGGACAACTCTAGTTGTTGCATGAGTTGTACAACTAACATTTTTTCATACAAAAATGTTTTAATTTTGCTTTTTAGATAGATTTTTTTGAAATACATATAGAAATAAAAGATGAAAAAGTAAGAGATAGTTTTCTTTTGTTGTAACAGAAGTTATACGATTTTAATGGTTCATAGAACATTATTGTCCAACTAAATGCATGGAACTTCAAAATGAATTTCTATATGCTACTCCCCAATGACAGTAAAATTAGAGGCCAGTGACCTTAATTTGAGAGAGACTAAAGCCACAGAATGGACCACTCTCTTTCTAGTAACTAGTTGTTAAAACAAAGGATGTGCTAGGAATATCCATTAGGTTTTTCATATATGCATGTCTAAGTTTTGTCATCACCTACATTATATATATATATACACACACACATTAAAACCCAGATATTGTTCATCAACTAAGCTCACAAGTCACTAGAAGAAGTGGTGTGAGGGTGCATTACTGGGCAATGACTTCTTTGGCTGATAGCAATTCAACTGCAAATCATTTAGGTGATTATAGTCATAGAGACTAAGCTCACTGCCAAAGAAGATTTGCCCCGCAATTCACTCCTTCACAAATAACCACCTTCATACATCAACAAAGGTATATTGATCAAGATATATACCAGTGGAGGAACTAGTTATTCTAAAAGTGGCATCCCTCTCCCTCATGTTTCTCTAATATAACTCTTTGATATGTTATGTTTATTTGGTCCATGTTATGCTATACTTGGCATGTTCTATGAATAAAGTTTTGTATGTAACATGTTCATGAGGTACAACGTGAAGTATGTGTTTTTTTACCTCATGTTATCATTGTGGTTTAGGTTTAGGTCCACCTTAGACGCAGAGTTCCTTCTTATTTGCTACATATCGTTGCAAAATCATGTCTCATCCAATTAAATTTTGACATATAATAAAACATCCACATATCACTTTAATTTTATTTTTTATTGCTGAAATTATTTTAATAGATGTCAACATTTTATTGGACGAGACATGATTGGGGATAGAATTTTGGGACAAGTGATCTACCTTCCTCATTTTCTATTTATATCTGTAAAATTTATTCCCTTTTCAGATTAATTTACTAGAGGGTTTAAGCATCCTATATAATTCTAAATTGCAATGTCAGACCAAATGAGGAAAGAAATTTCACCATGTGGTGTTTTAAATTGCACATTGTGCTTTGAGAAGTCTATACAAAATAGTATTACCACAAATCTTAGTTTCTTGGCAATTTAGCAAGAAAGAAAAGAAGGGAATTGAAAGAGCAAAAAAAGAAGAAAATACATTAAACTTTCATTATTGGAAATTGACTCTACACAAAGGCAAAGTGTAGAGAATTTATACAATGGAAAATTAGTAATTGCTTGAAACCCAAACTATCACTTAAAGTAAACAAAATCCTAACTATCATAACCAAAACTATCTTAGAAATGAGCATATTTAACAACAGAAATTGCAACCGGTAACAATTTTGGTATAATTGCAATAAAGGCAACATAACCACAATTTGAAACATTTCACCCACCATTTCAGATCTATTAGCACAATCTATAGGTCCTAGTTTCTAGACACTTTCTGTTGTGGTTAATGAGATAAATTTTGTTTCTTTTGCCTTGCTTAGCTTTTTTTTTAATTGTTGTAGATAGTAGTTTGTTTTGGTCTACGTTTGTATTTAGACATCACAACAGCTTTTGCTGTGTATTTGAATGACCAAAGACCATCAATCTATTGCCTGAGTTTACCAGTTGTCATCAAATTCTGTAATTAATTGTATTGCAAATTCTATTATAAACCATCATTTTGTATCTGAAAAACATCCAAATCATAATAAAATCAGTTCCCATGTGTATGTAAGGGTAGAATCATCAATAAATTTATAGTCAGCTAAATGAGGTAAAATTGTGTACATCTAACTTCACAAGCCCTATATGGGAGTCTCGTGAGTCACCCTTTTTAAAAATAACTACCTACAGATTTGACTAAGTGAAAATCTCATACACTAAACCGATGAGATTTTTAGCAAAGCCTTCTTTCATTTTTAAGACCTTATTTCATAAGCCAAATCAAGTGATTTTTGTCTTCTAAGCCCCCTGACATATAAGCTAGTTTTACCAATTAATGAGCTAGTTTGACCAAATATCACCGATGAGGAATAATATATTCTTGCATTAACTTATCCTACAAATCTCCATACTACAAGAAAATGACATATACAACTTGTAAACAAATAATCAATAAACAAAGTATCACTTTATGATATATCATTTCTTATGAGTAGAGGATTTGATTTATAAGATGATTTAGTAACACTGTAATAATATATTTCTTATTAATAGATCATGGCTTATCAACCAATTAATCAACTAGTTTTACCAAATATGTAAATATATTCTCGTATTAAATTATCCTACAAATCTCCTTACCACAAGAAAATGACATATACTACTTATAAACAAATAATCAATAAACAAAATATCATTTTATCACATCATTTCTTATGAGTAGAGGATTTGATTTATAAGATTATTTAGTAACTCACAAATTTAATAAGTCAGCTATCAAGCTTTTAGCTTTTCAACCTTCATTCAACTTTTTTTAACCTTCACCCAATTAGAGCTTATGTAATATCTAAGGGAAAAGTACAAAGGGTAATGCAAGCCTGCAATTACCACCCCAAAAGTATATTACTATTTTTAACTTATCTAGTTTACATGATAACAAAGAAAGAACTTTAGATTCAATGAAGTTAGCACAACATAATTTCTATAGTATCCATGCTATTTATCAATATGGATACAATAGCCTTAACAATCTTAGTACAACAAACCCATAAAATTAAGGATGTTCGGACATAAAAATTCAGTACATGAGCAAATCATAAAAATTGACTTCATAATTTTTACAACTTCATCTGCTCTTTCAAATTTCCAAGTGGGCCATAGTTTTTTTCTTTAACTTCTTTGCTACAATTGCAGTTCCCAGTGTTTAAGTTTTGACCACATTTCAAGCACAAGCCTTTGCACCCAGAATCACATATTGAATTCATGGTAATCTCAAGATGCACCCTGTCTCTTATGTTCTTCGAAATGTCTATTTCTTTCTCTTCCGGAGGAAAATATAGTTGATCGTCCAAATCGATTAACGCATCATTGTCATCATCATCGTCACTGTCTCCAGAACTTTTAAATATATCTGCCCCATAAAAAACACCCAAATCAATCGTCTCTGGTTCCTCAATGGGATCTTCAGTGAGTAAAAGAGAGAACTCGGTGAATATGGCCTCAGCAGATGGCATGCAACACCTTCAATAGAAAATCACATTCAAACAAGTTATTTGATTGAAAAGGAAGTAGAAGAAACCATCTATGAAGTGGAATAAGACGCTGTAGAACGTGCCATGGGGCTATGTATCTACCATTTTTCTTCAACAACTAGTGCTTCAATGAAACTACTATATTTGAACTCTTGGGTACCTAATTGAATGGTTGAAATAACTAGCCATGAAGATAATATGTAACACTAAGTGAAGAGTCTATAGGATGGTAGTTGTGAATCTCGTGATGCACAGCAACCAGGGACACCTAGACGGAATTAGCCTGCTACTGCTATCGGCTATAATAAAAAAACTTATGTCGTGTTACTTCGACCACCCCAAAAATCCTTCCATGTTATTATTTGATTGATTGATTCTGTTACTACTTCTCACAGAACAAACCAATCATATTTGTTCAGCTCACGATTAGGCCATGGATGCAAAAAAAAATGAACTATTATACATTTACTATTTGGGGGATGATAATATGATATTAATGTTTGTAGGAAGGGATTTGTATTGAATTGGAAATAGAGAAGACTCTGGACAAAGCATATAAATCTAGTTATACCACACATCAAGGAGACAGATGTACAAGAATCTTCATCGAAGGTTACAAGTACAGTTTCAACGAAGAGAATATAAAAGGTGGTCATATCCAAAGTTGCAGTTACATTTCAATTGAGCGTAATTTTCAGCGAAAGCCTTGTAACTAACTTTGTGAAGGTGTGACAATGAAATTGGAGAGAACAACCAATTTCAGGATTTAAAGCTTCCCTACGACTTGTTTGTTACATCCAGAAAGTTTATGGAGGGAACTCTCAGGTAAGATCATAAAAAATGAAATGATGCCTGAAGAAGCATAAACAATTTTGAAGTGTTGCGAAGATTATTTGATGACCGTTAACCATACCTGGAAATTCTGAAACTTCACCCAAAAGATTGAAGAGCTCTATTTACTTCTTTATAACGCTAACCACTTACTTATATCAAAGAAATAAATTAAAAGTTTATTAGTTCAACGACGCTTTGGTATTTCCCTCACTCAGCTCTATGAAAACTCCACTAGTCACCTCACCTCCTCTATGTCCTCTCTCTATATATACGTATAGTTAGCTCGGCATATGAAGCAGTGGACAGTGGAGACATGAAAGAAGATGGATGCAATTCATATGTTCTTTCCGTGTGAGTGACACAAAAAGAGATATGGGAGATAATGTATCATGTAACACAAATCAAGTTTGTTTGGTTAGATTTAACAGAAACATAAGTCGGATCTCCAAACATTAGGAGTGGTTTAGCATAGGGTTTTGAATGTGATACATTCCTTGTGAAATGATTTAATTTCCGATGCCAAAAGTACATCTTGTCCTAATATTTTTTTGCAAAAAAGGTTCGAGGCAATACAGACACCTACTCCTAGGAAAACTTAGATATCTTCTAGAAAGTAGATGGGTAGATTCTATTTAATTGAAGTTTCACACTGACACGGAACGAAGGAAAGAATGCACATAATTACACATCATACAAATCTAAACCTAAATATTTAACTCATAAACTGAATGGTAAAATAAGAGATAAACTTCCCAGCAATACTGACAATAAATGTTCTAATTCAAGATGATGTGGCATATTGAGACAACCTATAGCACCAAAGGCAAGCACAGAAATTATTGGCCCTAAAATCTAAATAGATTAGAAAAAAAATATTATCAAATACACCCTCATGTCTTAAGCCTTCGCAATAATTGGATAGTACAAAGTAAACACACATACACACACAGTAGAAAGAAACAATATAATATATGTGGAATTGTTGATGTTTTCTTGTTAAAGCAGAATGGCTACCATCCAAAGTCACTGCTGACATAAATTTTATGGTCTTACAATGAACTTTTTAAAATAAAATGTGGCGGATGGAGACCAATTAAGAAAGTCTAAAATTAAAGAGAACATTCAGAATATGAAATGTGAGTCTAAGGCAGGGTTTTGTTCTTAAATTGTATTTATAATTGTGTAGGCTCCTAGCTAGTTTTGCTGAATACTTTTTTTCTCATTCCTTTAATGAAAATAGCGAAGCATTCCTTGTTCTGAGAAAAAATGCAACTTACCATTCCTTATCAACAGAATTCCTGTGCAGCTTCTAACAAAACTAGAGAAAAGGGGAACAAATATCCTAAGACTAGTAAAGGGTATCAGAGGGTTATCTACTCTTGTCTTATTATCACTTAGATGGAGTAACATTCAA